GCATTCATGCTGACGCTGTCTCCAAGGCAATCTGCTTCGATTCCGGTGAAAACGTGCTAAGTTTTCGTCCGTCACATGACGAGCATCCTCAGAGCAAGGTATCATCGTCACAACAAAATTCAAGCTAACGAATCAAAGAGGACTAATGAATCTTCTTCTGGTGAGCTCGATCAGCGAATCTCTTCTTTATGCACCTTCATACGAAATGAAAGTCCCCCCAACAATGTTATCTCAGGAAACGCATCAAAACCCAATTCCTCTTCGTATCTACAACCATTAGCTCCCATCAGTTTTTGCGGCTTAGAGTAGCCGGAACTTAGTAAATGTTCCGTTAGCATAAAGATAATTTGGAGGGTGAAGCACAGCAAAGTGATCATTTTGGTCGGTTGCGAAGCTCATAAAGCCTGGCCTGACTTCATACACGCGAAGTAGGCACCGAAACCATCGGCAAATCTTAAATAGTTCCAGTCACCCGAGGTGGCATAAATTTAGAAAGGACTAATAGTTGAATTCTCCCACATTCATCCGAAGCCTACTCTCATTTTGGAACCCAATTTAGATGCATACTCTATATACTTTATATAATACTTTTGTACTATACACAATACCTTTATATTTTATACACTTTGTACGAATACTACATTATATTATCGCTAATATACTTTATATGAATATGAATATGAATACTGGCATAACATTGCCTCCCGTTTTCTGCGCTTTTGCCCAATTGTTAAGTGGTTCAACGCCGACAAACCTCGACTCGCCTGCCTCGAAGAGGTGCTCCTCTACACCGAGCAGCCGCGCCCCTCCGCCGGTTGTCGACTCGGACCGCAACGCATGTACCTGGCGCTGGAGCGCGACTCGCCCTACCCTCAACAAGCCGATATCGCCGAGGCCTACACTTGCTTGACGCTGGCCGGCGCCTTCAGCATGGACACCCAATTCTATTAGGCTCCGCTTCTATTCGGCTCCCGGACATCATCTGGAACCGAGCAAATCTCGGCCTCCCTTCGGAGTTGCCTTGACTACACCATTCAGTCGGTGCACACAGTCGATCAACTGACCAATTGATGCTCTCGGCACAGCATGTGCACATGTCTAGTGATGCAACCGGTCGACTTTTTCAACTAATAACTGACTCTACAGTTAGTTGCCATGTCTTTTCTCCTCTTTCGCCACCATCGGGAGTCGACGTATCGTCCATTTTGTGGTGACGCCTTTCTTGTGATCACTTTTACTTCGCGCTTAGAGACGAGACAATGAAGAGATATACTAAATTTGATCCAACCTAAACGCTACAGCGGATTGCTGTGGCTCTGTAGTTATTTGAGTTTTCCGAGTTTCTGCGAAAACAGGCCCAACTGGACGAAGAGCAGTGAAATTAGCTCTCATTCTTTTTCCGATAGTCTGTTTGCCTTTTGATCCACGCGTTGACGTACCGGATCCAGTTAGCCTAGGTCGCATAAGGTGATGAAAGACTGATAGTCAAATTTGCCCATGATCATATGAATAGGTTTTATGATGCGATTGAAGTTCACTAAGCCTTGCTTGCCAAAAGGTATTCTTCTATTTTGCCAATGAAATAGACTACACTACTTATATTCGTAGAAAGTATGTCTTGAAACTATCAGCAAATATTGACTAAGCTTGCACAGCCTATTTGGGCGTTGTTGTCAGTGGAGGTTGTGAGCAAAAGAGGAGTTGTAGAAGTGGGTTGACC